GTATTTGTGGTCCTGTGGGGGAACACAGTAATGATTTTTTTAAGACTTTCAGTCTTTCTGTGCATATATAAACAGACTTCTGTCTCCTGTACTGCATCCAAGTCTTCCTATTTCAGATTCTGAATAAGGTTTAACTCTGAGCATAAGTTTTTGCAGGGACTGTCCCACTTTCCACCCTTGCCAGGTGAATCTCTGGTGTTCTGATATGTGATCAGAGCTGACGAGGAGTGAAGTCTGTTGTATTGCTGTGCTCACTGCTCTGAATGTGTGGGATGATCTCTGTTCCCATAGAATCTCTGTTCCAGGCCTTGTAGCCTACACTGCAACCTTTATTACTGTACTGTTTTTTCTCTTACACTACAAATTCACTTGTAAAGCAGGTTTATTTTCCATCACTGCAAGTGTTGAGATAACAGAAGGGATTTCCTTGTTTAGTCAGCCTTCACCGGTTGATAAATGCAAGGAAGGTCTGATGAATGGGACAGAGCCTCCGATACACCGAGGGCGTGGGCGTCATTCCATGGAAAATGCTTGGACCAAAGTGCCATTAAATACAAGCAATGTGTCCCTGGGTTAGATCTTTAGAGTCGCTGTGTTCTGGTCAAAATAATGTTAAATGCTTTGGATGTGGATTGTAAGGACCTTGGGAAGTTAATGCAGCAACTGTGTTCACTGCATTAATGCTCTATTGGATTGCTTCGAAGGGAGAAAATGTACCTTAATTATAGTGGGTGGGTTTTTTCAAAGCTTGGCCAGTTCAGCTTTTTCTGTTATCTACACTTACATTAAAAAAGTAAATTGGCTTTTAGACATTCTGTTCCTGCATTTTACTGACCCAGTAAACTGCAGAATTAAAAGTGTTTTATTTTTGTTGCTTTCACCAATGCACTTCACGTTGTCTGATGAGGTTTTCTGCTGTATGTAATACTACAAGCAAATTCATTATGAAATGTTAGCCTGATCCCAAAAGGGCCTGCAAATTCCTGAATTTATGTGAACTTAAATCCTTATGGAAGGTGGAAAAGGTTTGCTCCTAGGTCCAGGCCAAGGTTCTGAACAAACAAACCAGTGCTTGTGGTATTGCGTACGGAGCAGCATGATGCATGGACATGTGTTATCTGTGTTCTTCTCCTTTAAGCAAGAGTAAGTAGAAAGTTAATTTATTTCACATGCAAAGGCAGCATTTCAAGGAGTCTGCCCTGCCAAAGAGCTAACTTGGATGCATGGATGGGGAAATGAAACCACAAAGCCCAATGTCTTCGCTCTGGCTGTCAGGAAAAGCCCTTATACTCCTTGCCAAGTACTTCACATCCAGCTTGCCATGACTGCTTCTTGCTGCAGAGACAGAAGTTATATTTAAGAGGAATGAAACATTGCTCTGCTAGGAGAAGCTCCATCAGAGCATCCTGATAATCTTACTAATAGAAGTAGGAAACCTTGGTCTGTTATTTCAGACAGCTGAGATGCTACTGCACTGCAAAATCTCCACCTGAAAATGGGCAAGCAGATTATGGGGTAAACATGATACCTTTTATCTTATCTTTATTAGGCTGCAGTGCATTTGTTCTCAGAGCTGTAACTTTGATATTTGCAGGCTTGGCAAGATAACATGCAGGTGTCCCCTTACACAAGTTCTCACCACAAGTCCTAGCAGTGCTGTCTTTGTATGGGAGACCATAGGGACAAATGGGTGGAAGGAGGTATCTCTGCCAAATTATCTGGTGCTGGTAAAACCTTCAGTTCAGAAAAAAAAAAAATGGAAAAAAACCCCCAAAACCAAACATGTGAAAGCAATGGATGGGGGTAGGTAAAACATTTTGGCTTGCTGTTGCACACCCACTCCTTCCCCTCCCCAGCACCTTGGCTCAAAGTTGCTGGAATTGCCATTATTGCTCTTCAAAAAACATCTTAGCATGCCTTGAGTTAATGAAAAGCATTGGGTTTTGCTTGCTTCTGTGATTTAGAGAGGCTTCCTCTGGGTAGTTGACTTGGCTGTCCCATGATTCTGTGACCCATGTCCCTGTGTTTAGTGTTTAGCTCTGCACAAGTTTCTGATCATTGATTCCCTTTTCTCTCTGCTGCCTGTGGCCTCTCCCAGGGCTCACTCCATCTCGCATTCCCTTAGGTAAGATACTCTTCAAGGCTCTAAAAGAACATTTGTTTCTGTGCCAGGCCCTTGCAGACCTTAAAGGGGAAGCTGGTTATTTAAGCCTTGCCTACACTTTTGACACAGATTGAGAAATCTACCACAAACCAATGTTCTGGGATTGACTTTTGTATCACAGTTGCAGTTAAATACTCGTAGTTACTGTCTTGTGCCCGGAAAACTAAATTCTGGGCTGCAGCTGTTAAATAAGGGGAGAGAGGGCTGGTACTTTGCACTTTGGTTGTCCACAGCGCCTGTGTGTGGACTGTGAGTGCTTCAGAACCAGGGGTATGGTGTCTAGTGTGAAACTGTCATTAACTTTCTCCTCCTTGTCCTGAATGCTTCCGAGCAGCAGTTACTCCATTCGCCACTCCATAAGTATGCCAGCCATGAGGTAATGTAGCATGTACCTGTGTCTCCTGAGTGGGGCTGGGGGGAGTACAGCTGCCTCCATCACTGGGGCATTTTTGTTCTGACTTCTACCACTGGTTCCCTTCTCCAGCACACCCCATTCCAAGCATGGGGTAACCACAGCCTGTAGTTTGGCTGTTTATAAAGAGGGTTTTATCCAGTGTCTTTTAGGGTTATTATCACCTGTGTTGCTCTTGGACTAAGTGTAGTGTTGCACCTGTAAAGTCTGATTGAAATTTGCAGCTTTTAGGGGTTCTTGAAGGGCAGGATTACAGTTCTCTTGAAACATACAACATGGCCTTTGCTAATAAGGAGATGAATCCTAACTGGAACCCTCTGTCTCCAGCCTGGAAGCTCAGTGTCCTTCTCAGCCTGCCCTCATGGTGCCTTAGGTGGTGATCTTGCAAGAGAAATGACTGCCAGGGCTGGATGAGGCCCACAGGAGCTCTCTCTGCTCATCCTCGTTCCAGATTGGTGGAGGTTATTTTATAGCTGCAAATATAAAGCAATTCTTTGGAACAAAAATAACTGAGATGAGGCTAGTCATCTCCCAGCGCTCCTGCAGCCTGGCCCGGGGGAGCAGCTCCATGAGTAATTGCCTAGTCTGGAAGCTCAGTACAGAGCACTCCCTGAAATCCTTCGCCAGCAAAGCAGCTTGTTGGGTTGTCAAACAATTGACCTGGTTTTCTTCGCTAGAAGTATGAAATGCTCTGATTAATTTATTACACTGTGGTTTTCGTGAGCATTTCCTGATGCAAATGATCATTCCTGTAGAAATAAAAGTGCTGATAGGTACAGGAACATGGCTCTTCCCCTTCCTGCCCCTGGGATGTGGTATGGAAAACTGAAGCCTTTGTTTTAAACCTTTCTCAACTTTCCCTTTCCATTATTTAAAACAAAAAGGTTTTAGTTGGAAGCTTTGTAAAACTAAGAGGTGGTTTCTTTCTCTATGTACTGTGCCTTGATTCCCCAGTGAACTAGGACTTGTTTCCCTCAACAATTTAGCTTGAGCAATTGAGTTGATTGCACATGGTCTAAATGTTTTCCTTCAGACTTTGTATGTGGTGTTCTTGCCTGGAGTGCCTGAGAGATTTGTGCCAAAGGCTGTGAGGAGCTGCAAGTGTTGTGGGTGCTGCTGTCACTGCAGGGGAACAGCCAGAGAGCCCAGTCACGCTGTGCTAACCGTTTGATGTGGTTAGGAACTTGTCTTGATTTGTTGTTTTTTCCCCTCTTCTTTTTGCAAGGAATTCTGCAACCTTCAAGTCCTTTGAAGATAGAGTTGGGACCATAAAGGTAACAGTCTCTTTTGTCTTGTCAACATGCAGTGTGAAGCCTTATGCAGAAACTTTAATTTCTGCAATGTTTTTCTTGTAGACTAGTATTCGGGCAAATGGCCTCTCAGATATGTGAAGTCTTGGCTACAGCAGGTGACCTCCACAAGGGGGAATTGACTTGATATTCCCAGTGCTGCTTTCTTGTTATCCTCACTCTCTTTTCTCTCCTTCCAGTCCAGAGTCGTGGGCAGCAGAGAAAACAGCACTGACAGCCTGCACTCCCCCTCGGGAGCTGGGGACAAGCCTCCACAAGACAACGCTCCTTTCTAGACCTGGATGTGGCTTTGCACGGCTGTGCACAACTGGAAGAGCAAGCCCCTCCCTCCAAACCTTCACCACAGCAACAACATGCAAATCCAAGCAGGGGCTGAGAGCCAGTCTGGAGAGATCCATCCTTCATTCATAGACACTGCTGCTGGATCCAAGTCAAATAAAGAGAATGCAAAGTTTTGTACACAAATAATATTTTACACTAAAGTTTGTAGATTAAATGTATCACTGCTGTCCTTTTGGGAGAGCGTGTAAGCTGGAGTTTCCTTAAAGTAGCTCAGAAATGCCACTGCTGTAGATGAAAACAGTTTTCCCTTGTCTGACATAGCTTGGAGCAGATACATCTCCCTGAGCAGCGCAAGGAGGGCAGTTGCTGGAGAAGCCAAGTGCATGGGCACCTTTGCTTCAGCTTCTGGCTCTGTTCTCTGTGTGGGGCATGCCATGCAGCTCCTCTAGGAGCTCCCAGGCTTCTCCTGTTACTGTTTTCTCTGGCTCTCATTGGAGCAGTCTGGTAAATATGGTAAACAGTTGGGTTTTTTTCTGGGCTCCTAAAAGGGAAACTTCACTTAGCAGCTGCCTCGTTGTTACACTAATGCTCTAGCTTTAACAAAACTAAGAATCTTTATTTTTAATGCAATGAACTTTAAAGAAATAAAGCTTATAAACAAACAAACAAAAAAAAAAAGCTTTGGCATCATATTAGGGCAATGCTCCCTTGGACTCTGAAGCTGAATTGCAAGCCTTACATCACTTACGCTTTACTTGTTTCTGATTTGTTTTCTATAGAGAAGACTGCAAGGGTTTTAAAGCTGGATGTTGAGCACTGGAGTTTTGCATCATGCAGTCATAGCAGCATGCTTCTAAGCCAGTTCTTGTGTTAAATTCAGTGGTGCACTCTGTTTCCCGAGTGTATGAAACTTGCTTCTCCCTTCTCAATGCTTGCCTTCGTTCTCGGAGGAGAATTTCTGAAGGCTGCTAGCGACAGGGCCAGGCTGAAGAGGCCAAAGTTGTGCCAGCAATATGAAAACCGTTGGAGGGACTCTGCTCTGCTCCCCTCTCCGAGGGCTCCTCCAGCTGGTACATCTGGCTGTGACTGGATGGGTTTCTCAGTTGAAAGCCCCAGCTCTAGTTTTGGTTTACAAAACTGGCAGAGAGTCATGGAGCTCGCCCAGTTTCCCCAGGGGCTGGAGGTTTTGCTCTTTTGATGTCCAACTTCATTGCTCAGGAGCTGACAAATTCCAAGTTTTCTTCTAGAGGCCTGATCTTATTCTAGGCAAGGTGCCTCCACGTAGAAATACCTAGAGTGAGCAATTCTGTGCCTTAGAGGCGAAGTGGGACTTACTCAGGTCTTTAGACTTATGTACATATCTGGGTAGTTTTAGTGGTTTATCACCCTGGAGGGACTGAACTTTCTCTGACCCTTCTTTTAGAGAAGCAAGTTTTGACACTGATTTGATTAATATTTGTTTCCCCCACCCCTGCTCCCCTCCCTCTGCAGACCTGGGGATGAAATATTAGCAGGCAGATGTACTAGGCCGTAGGTGGAGTGTAGAGTGTTGTTAATAGGTGCTCCTTGTTTGACTGGAACTGTCCTCCCTGCGAGGAACAGAGCCAGGGAAACAGGGACTGCTGGAGCTTGGGTATGGAACTGTTTCTCTTTTAAGATAAAGACTGAGGAAATTTGTCAATAAAGGATTCCTTTGGGAGAAAATGGGGTGAATGTCCTTGTCTTGTTCTGTTTAACAGCACTGAAGTTCTCTCTTGGGTGCGTGTTACAAACAGGTAAATCCCAACTGCCTGCAGCAGCCTGAGGTGAGAGGCAACTGAAATACTCCATCCTATCCCTCTGGCTTCTTGTCCCTTGGCTCTCTGGATGCTTTCTCATGAAGGGAAGTACTGAATAGTATTTACAGTCTGGTGTTTTCCTTTTCAAGAAGCCGAACACAGTTCCCAGGCTGGTTCCTGAGCTGTACCTGTGCTCTGAGCTGGGGAGTCATAAGCTCCATCCAATCACTTCCTTCACCACCAGTGCCTCAGGTGAACCTTGAGCTTATTCATGTCATTTTCCTGAGCTGGGAGCGTGGGACTGCAGTCACAGCAGTAACCTTGGCAGTGGGAGCTGAGGCTGGAGAAACTTCCACCGTGGAAAAGCTGCAGCTGTGGTGCTGGCACAGCTTGATGGTGATACCTCAGGGAATTGGTCGCTTCCGTGGAAGCTCTGGCAGTCAAACAGCACAGCCCAGCACAGAGGGAGCAGTGCATGGATGGATGGAGCTGGGAGCTGCTCTCCCAAGTTTAAAAGGGCAGTGGAGAGCAGGGAAATGGGTTGTGAAAGAGGCCAGCAGAGCTCTGTGACTGCTCAGTGTGTGGTTTTCAGAGGAAGGATGCCTGGCTACGCTCAAGGCATCTGCTTGGTGGTGAGGGTTTGGGGTTGTTTTTGTGGAGTTTGGGTGTTTGTTTGTTTTGAAGGTTGGGGTTTCTTTTGCTACTTGACTTCAGTACGTAAAACTACATCTCTGCAATTGGGGCTAAGAGCAGAGGAGCTGGAATGAGACCTGGTCCTGGAGGATCAGCCATGGAGCTGGGACTGTGAGAGGCCCAGGGGCATGGAGATGTTTTCCACCTCCTCAGTCTCTTCCAGTGAGGGGCCTCGGGTGTTTTGCTGGAAGGATAATCAAACCTTCTCTTCCTGGTTACAGGCTTGGCAATGTTTTTGTCACTTCCCAGTTTCCAAGTTTGCTCCTGGCAGCTCTCGCGGGTGCAAACCCTTGGGTTCCTTTGTGTCTGGGAAGGAGAGTTTGGGAAAGTTGAGTGCAGGGCACTGAGATTCCTGAGCCATCAAAAGAAAACCTCCATCACTGTAAAGGGGAGGGTCAGCACCTATGCCTGAAGATGGGATATCTTGGGCAGAGGAACGGGAGGTGCAGGGTCATCCTCTGTCATCCAGAGTGTCAAATGTGGAAGGAAGCTGGATCACTCCATGACAGAAAGTGGGAACAAGCAGTAGAATCAAAAAGTAACTAATTGCAAAAAGCTGGAAGGAGCCACTTTTCCCTGCTGGCACCATGTCCCAGCCCTCAGCCAAAACCATGGCAAGCGCTTCTTAAGGAATTTGACATTTATGCTGATGAGAAGGGTTGCACAACCACTCCAGTGGCAGGAACCTGTGCTTGCCCCTGGCTGAGCAGGCAGAATCAAGAGCCAAGCTCTGGCCCTGGGCTGCCAGCCTGGACCCATTTGCTGTGCCCCTGCTGGTACCAGCAGCCAGGGCTGGCCCTGGGTGGGTGCTGCAGTGGGCTCAGCATCTCTTCTTGGGTGCAGACTCCATGCAAGGTCAGTGCTGGGTAGCCCCACAAGCAGCTGGTGTTCTGGAGGGAGAGAGGTCCTGGGTGTCCCTTGGAGCATTGGTGCTGGTGCTGGGCTGGGGCTGGAGCAAGGAGAGAGTGCCGATGTGTGATTCATGGCGATGACTCTGTTGGCATCACTGCTCACTTCTTTAAAACGTGAGTCAGAAGCAGCAGACGGGAAAGGCCATTATTGCCACACGGAGAGGCCACATGCCAGCAGGGCCATGCCAGAGCGATGGGAAGAATAACAGGAGCACCAGCACTGGGGTCACCACTCCGGGGTCACCCGCTCTGGGAAGCACTGGATGGGTGGAAGTCAAGGCTTTTACCCAACACTGTGAAACAGCCACATTCCCCAGGGAACAGCCAGGAGTGCCAGGAAACTTAAGCAACTGGGAAAAACAGGATCATGAGCTTAAAAAAACACCCTGTTTTGCTCTAATTGTAAGCACTCGTTTGTTCATTAAAGGAAACTGGCTCAGCACTGAGCTCCTGGTGCCTGCAAGGGCTGGTGGGGGTGAGCGGGGGGGGCAGGATGGGACCCTCGGAACTGGGAAGGGGGTGAAAGATACTTCCCAAACCCTACGCAGAC